AAGGGCATCCCCCAGCCTCACAGGGATCGAGACAGTCCCACACCTTCCTGGACTGCTACCAGGGGACTTGGACACCGAGGAGAAAGGAAAGGTGGGAAGGGAAAAGGGAAAGAAGGCAGAAGAAGGAAGAGTGATTTAATCATATTCATTACTCTGCCACAGACACGGTCTCCTCCTGCCACCCTCATGCCCACAGCATCCCTTCATTAGAGACCAGAATGGGGGCTTTCCTCCTCACACTGGGTGCAGGGAATGGGATGTGCAGTGGATATGTGCTGGGTGTGCTCACAGTGCAAGCRGGGCAGAGATCAGATAGCCTCACTGGGTGCAGGGTTATTGCTCCCCCAAGTAAGTCTGAAGCTCCCAATGGGTGATAKCAAAGCAAATGCCATAAGGTGCTGCTCAAAATGATGTCTTCAGAAGTGGAAGAGCCCCCTGTTTCTAAAGCTGTGTAGGTGGCCACTGCCTGCTGGCTTCATTTGAAGCTGATCATCCTGGTGGGAAATGCCTGTGCTACCTTCTTGAGCCTCTGCAATTTGAAATGTGGCTCCATGTAGTTTTGGATCTTATGGTTAGAATTCTACTTCTAGTACTGCTAATGTTATTGAAGCTATCAAGCACATACACCAGTTAAGAATTTTCTGAACTGAGCCTTGCTGAAGGTAAAAACGTTGTCTCTATGTAAGACATGACTTCAATAGCCTAGAATTTGTGGCAGATGTTCATGCTGCTGGGAAGACCTGGTCTAGGCTTCCAGATACCTGACTTCATTCCAGRCTTGTTTTTGCACTAGTCCCTAATTTATTAGCTGTGTTTGTGCAGGTCTGCTGTTCTATGGGATGTCACTGGAAATGCTTCATATCAATTCTCCATSTCCTGCCCTGCCTAAAAATGCAGTTCAGATATAGTCAGTAGTGCATGTACGACTGCAAACCTGACCATCACACACAGCCCTGCCCCTAGGTTTGTCACCAAGAGTCCTCTGTTTGTATAATACAGAATTAAATGCTTGCAAGATGAGTGGGAAACCAGTGGCAGTACAAGAGCTATCTGGTTATATCACTGGTATTACTGAGAGCCAGGGGACAAAATCACTCCCACTCTCTTCAATCACCAGCACCTGAGTCACCAGTGAAGGGTTTGTTCTGCTTTAAAC